TATCAACATAACAATATGATGTAATATGAAAGCAAATTCGTCCTTATTAACATCAAAATAGTGAGGTTTGCTGCCGTTTGCAAATAAGGTTAAAGTCACTAGTCTAACAAAGGGCTATAACAGTCTGTCTGATCAGCCAAATGGCCAAATTACTCAAAGCCTGACTATTGGACAGTGAAAGTTGTAACCTTCTGGTAATGAGACAATGCTAGGTTCAGAAAAGTAGATTGATTCGCCACAAACAGTAGCAGAAAACCCCCAAGAGGTGAATGGGACATGGGCTGCTGTTTCTGGGAATTCTCAGTGACAGCGTACCGCCGGTGTACGGGGGTTTCGTGCAGATCAATTGACTGCACAGACGATGTTTTGAGGTGGACTTTCGCACTTAAAAACATATTAAAACAACTTTTTACCCACTGATCACAGCAAATACAGCAAAGCCGCTCTCTGCCATCAAACATAGAAGCAGCAGAAGCATCAGACGCTTCTTTTCACCCTTTACTGGACATGTTTACAGAGCATCCAAGAGGCTCTTCGGGTGTGTCAGTCCTTAAAAGGTGTAGAAGCAACAAAAATTAATCAGCAGGTGCTTTTTTGTGGCTTATATCCTGTTAGGTCTGAATGTAGCATTAGACATGAGAAGAATAGTGAAATGTTTTTCACCATTTTTTGAAAGGTAATTACATAACAAGCACCTCATCAGCAAGCTTTACAACTCAGGATTACCAGCGTCTCAAAGGTCAAATCATCTGGTTTTACTGAACAAGGTTCCATAATGGTTGATATGAAGAAGAGTTCCCCACAGCAAAACCCTTAACCGCTCACTGCTCCCCGGGTGCCACACAATGGCAGCCCACTGCACCTCAGGAGGTGGGTCAAAATGCAGACAGTGAATTTCGCCATTGTGGAAGTATAAAGTGATTTACTTTTACATCAAAGGCCCTTAAGGTCAGAGATCATGACACATATATACATATATACATCGACAACCATCATCTGTCACTTCTTCCATTCCCTCTTGTCCATCAGGGTCTGAGGGGGCTTTTGAGTCAAGAGTTAACCTCACAGTTATGTTTTTGAACTGTGGGAGGAAGAAGGAGTACACAGAGATAACCCATAACCCACACATGCACAGGGAAGAACGGGCAAACTCCATACAGAAGAGCCTATGCCAAGAATTGAACCCAGAACCTTCTTGCTGCAAGGAAGCAGTGTAACAAACTGCTAGACTGTATAACCTTGCCTGTGTCACATTTGCCAAAAATATCCTGATAATCCTCAATACCTCTGGAACAATAACCGGACAAAGCAAGAGGGAAGCTTTTTGCTGACTGCCACTACCTCGACGCCAGAGTGTTTGCCAGTTTAGGGAAGTCATCCTGCAAACTGGATTTTTCGGACCTTCTCTCCCTGGAAGGATCAACTGAGCTTCAACCGCCTTAACTAACCGCTGTGTCTTCCCCTCACTTTTCAGTTCCGGTTGAGCAGTGTTCAGAGCAACACTTCTCTCTCTGTTTTACCTCTTCAATACAACCTGTTAAACCTTTTCCCTGGTCTCGTTGTTTGGTCTTCTGCATTTGGGTCTGAACTTTTGTAAAATCATGACACTATCTATCTATCTATCTATCTATCTATCTATCCATCTATCCATCTATCCATCTATCCATCTATCCATCTATCCATCCATCCATCCATCCATCCATCCATCCATCCATCCATCCATCCATCCATCCATCCATCCATCCATCCATCCGACCTCTAGTGTTTATGTATCCACTGTGCTTTGGTTTCAGCCATTCATTGTAGTCTCATGTATATTGGAAAATGGCATAGAGTCTTAAGAGGGAAAACTGTCTTACAAGTGTAAGAGAGGAAGAGGAAGGCCTAGGAAAAAATTAGACAGCAGTGTATTTGGCACATTCTTATACGCAATGGAGAAAGAGCAGGTAGGAAGACCTTGCACTGGTCCGTTAATTTAAAACATGACTTAGGCATTTTTCTTAACTTCCATATACTTTTAAATAGACAGTTTTTGCTGTAACAAGCATCCAGTTTGGCTCATTTTAAGTAATAATCAAAAACGAGTAGGTCCAGATTCCTCCAAGCAATAGAAAACCCTATCATCAGTTATCACAAAGACCTGTTGGAAGCTGGCACTGCCATGGGTGGATCAAACCGCGCTAAGGCTTAGGCAGATTTGTTTCTTTAACAAATAAAAGTGCCAGATAATGAGCTATTGACAGCTCTGAATGTAAAAAGTAATACTCAAATTAAGGAAAGTAATTAAACACGTACTCATTTTGTTATTTATCACATTACAGCTGTTTCTGTAATTCAGCTAAGTCTTTTTTATCAGTCTTGGAGGTAACCTACTTAGGTTACAGGGTGGGCAAAATAACCTTAACCTGAAACACAGAAACAGGAAGTTGGACGACCACAGAGCTTGTTAGTCAGTTAGCAGAAAACCCACAATCTGCAGCATAGAGGCAGAAACCTTTACCATACAAAAAGCAACCATGCAGATAAACACATGCGGTGCATAAGGGTTCAAATGGGCAAAATCACAATATTTCTAAATCTAACGTCTAAAGGAATCTGATTTAGGCTCAGTGGATTATCATTTAGTTTTCAGTAGATTCAAATCTCCATGTATCTGTTATTATTAATGAATTTATTAGTTCATACATTCCTACTCAGACATAACTGAATTACTGTATCTGTGCAAAAACAAACATTAAGACCAGGTCTTTGCTTTGGTATGAACCCTGTGCACATAATCTAGTCATTCCTATAACTCAGTAAAGGATAAGCAAACTTTTTATAGCTTCCTTTTAGCCTAACCAAATGCTAAGCCTGAAAACAAACACAAGAAGAAACAAATGTTTACCTTTGCTTAGTTTGTTGTTGTGTTCTTCAGGTTGTGATATTCTAACATCACTGTAAGTGATACTTTCCTCCCGAACTTCCTGATCACCTGAAAAAACATTAATCCAATTCAGCAATTAAGTCTTTATTCTAAATATGATACAACTGTTATTCTAAAATATAAACATTAACAGACAGAAGATGATGATCTCACCTTTGCTTTTTCTATTAATGCAATATTTCAACAGTAGAACCACCAGTACAGCAACAACCATGGCACCAAATAGAACCAGATACCCATAATGATGAAACTGGTAGGAGGGGGGAGAGGTTGATGTAGAAGAAGGGATGGTTGTTGGGAAAGACGTGGAGGATTTCTCTGAAATAAAGATTTATTACATGATGAAGATATAATAAAGACCCTTAAGGTTCAGCATTGAAACAATCCTGCTGACCTTCAACAGAGATCCAGCTGGATGGAGACTCTCCATGACCACTGATGTTACACCTGTAGAGGCCTTCATCAGAGCTGGTCACATGGTGGAGGGTCATGTGACCTTTGGGCTCAGTCCTGATGAGGGAGCCATCTTTATAGAAAGCAGCTGGGAGGTTGGAGGGAGTGGTCTTTGTTAGACAGCTCAGAGTGACGTCATCTCCCTCCATCACAGGGAGGACAGGACTCTGCAGGATCACTGATCCACCTCAACACAGAGACAAACTACAGCATTTCATCCATTTCCACACAGCTTCATCAACACTAACTCCACAGTCTGATCTTACCAGTGACAGTGAGCTGGATGCTGCTGCTGGCTGCTCCCTCTCTGGAGGGGGAACACCAGTAAACTCCACTGTCACCTGTGGTCATAAAGGTCATGTTACAGGTTTGGCCAGCAGGTTTCCCCCATGGACCTTTACACTCAGACTGTTCACTGGTTGTGTTCCTCCATACAGTCCATCCAGCAGAGCTGTCGCCCTCACAGCTCAGAGATACAGAATCTCCTCTGAAGAACTGAGATCTGTTTGGACTGACTGTTAGATGAGCTGGAAGGACTAAAATATAAACATAATGAGAATTTCAGTTGTGATTAATAATACAAGTAGTCAAATCTATTTTTCACTTTCCTTTTTTTGTGTTATTTAATGAATATCAATATAACTGAAGTATACCAACCTTTGATTAATGAACAGCATAGGAAGAAGGTCAGAACTGAAGAAAAGTGAATATTTTTCAATTAATAAGTGAAGCTAATCAAAAATCTGACAAACAGAATAACTTAACACATTAAATCCTTCTCTTCTTCTATGTCCCAATTTCTAAACTGATTCTAAAAATAAAATGTTAAAAACACTAAATTTAGCAGAAGTTGATACTAGCAGAAATTAGAAACGTTTCTACTCACAGAACAGCCATGGTAGAGCTGTGCCTCTCATTGTTCCTCTGACAGATCTGACCATTCTTCAGTTTATCTGTTTGCACCAAGCTGAGCCCGCCTACTTCCTCTATGTCATGAGGCTCAGTTTCTGAGCAGCAAGAAAATGTTACCATGTGATTAAAGGAAGATATTTAACTAAGAAACTATGTTTACATTATTGATAGCAAACAGAAAATTGTATTCATATTCAGCAACATTAAATTAAAACATGTTAAAATAATTCATAATAATAGCAAATGGAATAATTTACAAGGTAGTAACTCTGCTGACCTTAAGGCTTTAGGAAGAAGGGCTGGAGGAGAACTCAGAGAAGGTTCATGAATGAATAGAGTGAGGAGATCCATCAGGTTGACAAGATAGAGGAGGATGGAAGAGAGGATGGAGGATGAGGATCAGCTTTGGTGCCCCCTAGAGGCAGCTGCTAAAAAGATACAAAGAGAAAGTGATTCAAATTAAATAGCTTAAACATTTATTAAAATATCATGACAATACATATCCAACACAAAGAACTATTAAGTGAAATTTCACTCTCAACGTATGAGATTACATTGATGTTGTACACGCTTCATGCATGTGTATAAATCTGCAGTAGCTGGTATAAACTTGCTTCTATGGGGGAATCAAGGCTGCTTTTGCTATGTTTGCTTGTTCAAACCCACATGTCTTCCTGAAAAGGTAAAAAGGAAAACTGGTCTATTTTACTGAAAAAAATGGGACAAGATTCAAAAGCTTATTGACAATTAAAGAAGAATACAAAATATATTTTAAATGATTTTCTAGTTTATTTTGCAATATTGTAAAAATAACAATTAAAATGTTATTGGGGAAAATCTAAATTATAAGGCAAAACTTTGACCAATAAAAAATATAGTTCAGGGAGTCTGAGGAAATGGAGGCTTTCCAGCAGGGAAGTCATGAGGATGAAGGGACAACATCCAGTGAAGAAAAGGAATTGTCATGATTTTATCAAGCGCTCGGACCCACATGCAGAGAGACCAATTCAGAGAGACCAGGGAAAAGGTTTAACAGGTTTATTTAGGAGTTTGTGAAGAGTCCAGTGTTGCTCTGAACACTGCTCAACTGGAACTGAAAGGTGAGGGGAAGATACTGCGGTTAGTTCAGGCTCAGTAGGAATTTTGATTCTCGAACTTGAAGGGGAGAATTTGGTAGATTACTCACGTTTCCAGAGAAGTTGCTGACTTTTAGACTCCAGGCTGTGTGCGGAAGTTTCAGTGTTTGTCTGATTCGGTGGAGGGCGAACAGGGTTTACCCAGAATGCGGTTGTTAGTAGGCGAACAGAGAAGCTGACTGCCACTCAGATTTCCTGTGGTACTTGAACAGGTCGTAGTGGAGAGGAATTCCTTATTTAGTGTGAAGCTCAAATGATCTCTTGAGGGAAAGTGGATTCAAACCTCCAGTATGAATTCTCAACTCAGTTTGAAGCTCAGATGATCCTTCCAGAAAGAGAAGGTCCGAAACATCAAGTTTGCCACCAGGACTCATGGCTGCCACCACATGGAGCCTCAATCCCCAAAAACCAAATAGAAACACTTAGTAAAAGACCAGCAATACTACAAAAGCACTCTGAGGTTGCAGACCTCCAGCAAACAGCGAATTTCGCCCCATAGCGTGATTTAACCTACAGGGACTTGAAAAGTATGCAACCCCTTTGAACTCTTCAGACTTTGGCCAAATTTCATGCTTCAAACATAAAGATGTAAAATTGTAATCCCTTGTGAAGAATCAACAAGTGGACCGCAATCATTAAGTGGAAGGAATTTAATGGATATTTTAAACAGTTTTAACAAGTAAAACCTGAAGAGTAGGGCAAGCAGAATTAATCGGATCCTTTACTTTCAGTGCAGCAAACTCTCTCCAGAAGTTCAGGGAGGATCTCTGAATGATCCAATGTTGACCTTAATGACTGATGATGATAAATAGAATCCAGCTGTGTGGAAGCAAGTCTCTGAATAAAGGCACCTGATCTGTGATCATCTCAGAGGTCTGTTTAAAGCCCAGAGAGCATCATGAAGAACCAGGAACACACCAGGCAGGTCTAAGAAACTGTTGAGGAGAAGTTTAAAGCTGGATTTTGATACAAAAATATTTCTCATTGTTTAAACATACCAAGGAGCACTGAGCAAGGGATAATATTGAAATGGAAGGAGTATCAGACCACTGAGAATCTACAAAGACCCATCATCTCTCTAAATATTCTTGTTCACTCAAACAAGGAGAAGGTCAGAGAGGCAGCCAAGAGGCCCATGATCACTCCAGATGAACACCAGAGATCTACAGCTGAGGGGGGAGAATCTGTCCATTGGACAACAATCAGCCGTATACTGCACAAATCTGAACTTTATGGAAGACTGGCAAGAAGAGTGGCCATTTCTTAAAGATATCCATAAAAAGTTTTGTTTAAAGTTTTCCTCAACCCACCTGGGAGACATCTGGATGAAGAAGCTCTGGTCAGATGAAACAAAACCAAACTTTTTGGCAGCAATGCAAAGCTATCTTTGGCGTTAGCAATACAGCTCATCACCCTGAAACCCCATCCCCATTGTCAAACATGGTGGCGCAGCATCATGGCCTGGGCCTGCTTTTGTTCAGCAGGAAAGATGGTTAAAATTGATGGGAAGATGAATGGAGCCAAATACAGGACTATTCTGGAAGAAAACCTGTTGGAGTCTGGGAAAGACCAGAGACTGGAACAGAGATTTATCGTCCAAAAAGAAAATGTTTCAAAATATAAAGCAACATCTACAACGGAACAATCCACATATCCAGGTGTTAGAATGGCCTAGTCAAAGTCCAGACATGACTTCAATGGATAATCAGTGAAAAGAACTAAAAACTACTATTTACAAATGCTCTCCATCCAATAATGTGAAATGATGGTGCCACACAGTATTGACAGGGCAACATAATTTTACAGTCCCAATTTCTATGTTTTTTATTTGTTAAAAAAGTTCAAAATATCCCATGGGTTTTGTTTCATTTCAGGATTGCGTCTAACTTCTTGATTCTTCACAAAGTCACAAAGAATTACAATTTTAGATTTTTCTGTTTTAAACTAGGCAGCATGGTGGTGAGGTTTGTAGCACTATTTATGGTTCCTGGTTCTCCTTGTTCATGCGTGCGTTCTCTCTGGATACTACATATATTAAACAGAGTAAGAGCAAGATGCCACAACAACAGTGCAAATAAAGTATGAGGCTAAATAATATTTAAGACCGCTTGTTTTGCCCACCTGCTAGCTTATTGTAGCATAAACAGAAGAAGGTTGACATAAATGATAAACAGAGGATAAACAGCTTAGCAGGGTTAGCCTAGCCTATACCTTCTAGAAAAAGAGTCCAAAGCAGATTAATCCACACATCAGGGACTGCTACAGAGGTGAGCCGAAGCCGAAGATTAGCTAAACAATTTACATTATCATTGTTCTTTATGGCCAAGCATATGGGCATTGGAAACGGAAGGATGATAACCGGTCCAATAGAGGCAGAGTATCAAAAACAGGAGGAGAAGCTGTTTTATAGACAGAGCTAAAATTGGCAGTATCAAAGTGGAAACAGACCATCTATGTTGCATTATAATTCATATTTCATAATATCCCCCAAAAATATCCAGCATTACAATAAGTATTTAGTGGCCGCTACAGGTAAGTATAATTAAGTGTTTATTTGTATATATTTTAATCTATAAGCACCTAAATCCCAACACCTCTAGGTCTATGTGTGAGTGTGCATGTATGTTTGGGCTTTCGTAATTAAAATGGTCAGTAGTGGTTGTGAGAATTCAAAGGCCTGCCCCCACAGGGTACATGGGCATAGAAGGGGAGGCCAATCCCCAAGAAATCAAAAGGTTCCCCAGTCCATGGAAGCCCCAGAAGGAACAAGAGAGGGATAGATAACTCCTCCATTTCAGCGGAGAGCAGAAGAGATAGATATTGCTAGCATAATTGTTGCTATACGGTCCCAGCCAGCATCCCATCAGCCAGTATTCCCACCTCCTCCATCTCAAAGTGTTTATAGTGGTGGTTATGGACATTACCAACCCCCTACCAATACTCCAGCATACCAGCAGCTGCAATATCCAACATACAAATCTCAAAGAAAACTGTGATTTGATTTCACTAAATCTAGAGTTTCTCAAAAATCCGGTGGTTTGCCTCATAGCCTCTACCCCACAGACACACCGCAGCAGTGCACATTTTCCTATCCACATAGACATTCTACATTTTACCAAGTTCCCGGCTGTAATGAGCCACAATGAGAGACCACATGAACATGAATCTAAATCTTTCAATTCCATTTTGAGAGTGAGATCATCTATGGTAGTAGCACTAGACATCTTCCAGGCATGTGAGTAAAACTAGCAGCAGTTCAGCGGTAAGGATGAATGAAAGGTAGCCGGCATGCGGATGACGTCATACACACGCCACTTTGTTTTTAAAATAATAAATATAAAAAATATAACCACGGGTGTCTGGGGGACAGTGATTAGTCTACATGTTCTGAATGCTGCCGTACCATAAATGATAAATTATGAATAGTTTAGTTTGTGCTTCAAGTCGTTGCCCATAGGAAGACGTTACTTGGATATAACCTAACAGAATATCTTCTGAACGGCTCCAAATGACACAAAACTCATATGAGTGAGTAGAACACTTCTGGGGAGGCGAACGTGAGCCACAGGTGGCATTCAAAGCTCTTCAGCCAAATCTCAGAGAGCAGCTAGCTCATCAGCAGACCAAATTAATTTTCAATCCTCCTGGTTCCCCACACTTTGGAGGCTGCTGGGAGCGTGAAATTCGTTCTCTGAAGACTGTTCTTCAAGTCGTCATCAGAGCACAGATTGTTTCTGAAGAGGTGCTGCACACCGTTCTGATTGAAATTGAGGGGATGCTTAATTCAAAACCCCTAGGCTTTACCTCATCTGAGGTAGCGGATCCTGATGCAGTGACCCCCAACTATCTTTTCATGGGCCGGTGGGATGCTTTGCACCCGCAAGTCATCTACGACAGTCCTGAAATTCTTGGGCGGATGAGATGTAGGCATAGCCAAACTCTAGCCGACCATTTCTGGCAGAACTTTTTGAACTATTACCTGCCAGGGCTCCAAGCTCGACATAAGTGGCAGACTGAGTCCGCCAATCTCCAAGTAGGAGACATGGTCATGATTGTGGACAACCAGCTTCCGCAAGACCTCTGGCCTGTGGGTAAAGTCTCTCAAGTTTTCCATGGAACAGACACCTGGATTAGATCAGCTGAAGTGACTATGAAAGGACAACCCTACATTCCACCAGTGGCTAGGCTTGTTAGTCTACCTGCTCTGCCTAAGGACGATTAATCCCCCTTTCTTATGCAGCCTTTTTTTGTTATTTGTA